ATTTTCCACATCGATGGGTTTTTTTCACATAATTAAATTATATATAACTTACAAATTACAAAATGTGTATTGAAAACTATTGTCGATTTACATGTCTTCCGTGTCGCTGTCTGAGTCTTCCGCCATCGCCTGTTTCGCTTTAGCCTCCGTTTCCGCTTTTATATCTTGCGGCACGCGCTCGTGCCTTCCGTTCGTATGTTTACCTACCCAGCTCATTTCGAGTTCGAACTGTTTGTCTTTCAATTCATCGTGAACGAGATAAATAATGCGCGCCGCTTCTTTCACCAAATCGTTGCAGTTCATGTCGGCGAGTTTCAGCTTCTCGATTTCAGTCTTTGCGGACTGTTTTGCCTTTCCTGTTCAAAGTAAATGAATACTGTAAAACAACTGTTTTGTTCATTAACGAAGCTAAATTTAGTATACATACCAATGGCACAACCATAGTATCCATAAGATACACCAGATGGATCGATCATGTACATTTGTGGCTGGTCATTTTCATAGGCACCAAGAATAACTGAACAGCCGTAAGGCCTGACTGCTGAGTACAGAGTGTACGCGTGCATGTACATGGACACTCTTTCATTTAGGTATTTTAAGGGGATACCAACTCCATACTGAGCTTTATAGCTAGATGCTTCTGATCTGGCGGTCTCTGCAATCTGTCCAGCATCAGAGATTAAACCGGAGGCTGCCATACCAACATGCTGGTCGATGTTGAATATTCTTTTGTTTGCACCAGGCTCGAATAGCTTAGAAGTAATAATCTTCTCGACAGCAAATACTACACCATCCTTTCCACGTAAACCTATCACTGTCCTACATGTACAATGAGAGAACTTTAATTACTACATACTATTAACCAAGTGGCAAAGGGTAAAATTTGAAAGTGAGTATGTAAATAAATTTTACTGAGATAAAGATAATGAAATGAAGATTGTAACAGAGTTTAATTCTACGTATTGATGAGTCAAATACACTGAATAGATAACAATGACAGACAACTTGTGGATAGGTTATGTGACAATATTATAACACAATACTGCGGAAAAATGTGAAACAAAATAAATTTCATACCCTCCATTCTCAACAGCTTTCTGTGCGTATTCCACTTGAAACACACGTCCGTCCGGTGAAAACTGAGAGGCGGACAAGTCATACTGAAATCACCATAGAGGTTAGTTTTCATTCAAATTTTCTATTAACGGTTTCTGAACGACATATTTTTAAATTAATACAGTGCATATTTACCCCTGTTCCTACAGAACTCATTCTTCATTCAATTGTAACTACGAATACTGTAGTATTTTTCAGCGGAAAAAATTGTTTATACGCGTACACGGCGTGAATAGGCGAAAATCAAAACTTGATCGTCAGCACCGCTTGGTTACGTTCAGGTTAGGCTCGGAGACAATCTCAACAGTGACATCTAACGGTAATCTCTGGAAATTTCTTGCACTTTATAAATAATTTCAAACCATAGATAATAATGCACAAAAAAGTTTAAAAATATTCAATAGAATTTTTGTTTCAACACTATAATTAATTAAATATACCAAAATAATATATTTGATTTGTTATCTGCTTCAAAATTTAAATACGATGCACCGGAAGCTGTTTCTGGAAGTATCTAACATTAAATAACGCATAATATTATATATAAAAAACACACACATATACATACATACAATATACACATATAAAATTAAATAATGCAAAATTACATATGTAGATCATATAAAATTGTTTAGTATTTTCCAACGACTAAATTTTCCATATTTTATTGCAAATGAAGTTTGATTTAATACACAGAAAAGGGTACTGGTAACCAATGTTTTCTATTTAAATTAAATAACAACAAAAAATAGTTGAAGATCACAATTTATTCGTCTAAATATTTATTCCCCATTCAATCATATTTTCATGCTTAAATGTTCATCGATAAGAGTTTCATTTTCTTTCCTCTCTTAAAAAGTTTTTAATGTTTTCTTTTTTACAAGTGTATTCGGGTGGACAGCCATCCGTGAAACCGTATTCGATGGCTTTCCGGAATTCTGCCATTGTTTTCTCGTACTTGCCTTCTATAGAAGGAATTCTGTGAAACATAATACCACTTATTTAAAAATATCTACCATTGAATGTAGAAACTAGAATTCAAATTAAATAAAATTAAACAGGTACTTACTGAGGCAACAATTTTGCAGTTTCGACAATCATTTCCGCTGCTCCAAGATACTCTTTCGCCACGTGTGGATCCTCGCAGGCTGCTCTATACAAACAAGTATCTCCCATCAAGTATCCCAGAGCTAACGCCATTTCTCCTTCTGATAGAACATTTTCTGAAATATTATATACTTCTGAATATTAACCCTTTGCGGATGGATGTCGACATTTCGGTGAAATGTAATGTTCAGATTTGGAAGACTAAGCCATAGACAAATGATTTAATTAGTCGAACAGCAAGAGATCAGTATGTAGTTTTCTTTCTTTCTATGAATTAAGTAATTGATATATAATTTAGCTTCATATGTTGAAGATTTTGTATGTTTCGAAGAATCCTCGAAAGGGTTAAATATTTCTAATAAATTCATTTCAAGGTCATTTCAATCGTTTTATTCACGATTTCGTAAATCACTGAATCTGTAATTCATATTATTAATAGTAATAAATTAGACTGCTTATTATTTCTAGAGATAAGAACCTTCTTCCAGGTCGCGTCCCTTGTGGACATTGTGCCCCAAATACCCAGCGCCAAATACAACTGCTTTTAGCACCAAAAGAAGCAACAAATTTGATAGATTCAGGTTCAACACCTATTGGCATTGGAAAAATTAATATTTGGTCGATTATTTTTGTTTCTATAAATCGTTCCTTCACTCAGAACCACTAACGCAATTACATTCATCGAATTATTTATGCCACGCTTACCTGACTGGTACTTGAGGACCTCTGTACAAGCTCTTTCGCGATTTCCATCAACATAGAGCCACTTTTCTTATTATAAGTATCTTTAAAGAAGTCGTGCTTGCTGTTCGCGTTCCTTCCCAGAACACCATAAGTCAGCAACGTCAAAATTATTAAAAGTTTCGAGTTTAACGTCATTCTATCCTTCGAAGTTTCTTCTTGTATAGTTTAGAACGATCACTTAAATAATCTGCTGTATTATTTTAACAACTTTATAGAGCTTATGACAATAAAGATATAAAGTAAAATTATCGATCACCAGAGATCCTTCGAAGAAAGTGCAAGTCCTAGACGCAGGAAACGAAAATGACAGCGACGCGATGTCTTCGGTCATTTTTATAAGGCGCTTTGTTCTCTCGACAAACCGTGAAGCTTGCTTGTTTGTCATTCGTGTGCATCAAACCGAGGGTCGGCCAATGTCTTCTCACTTTCCTCCCATTGTGACCGAGATCCACGCACAATCATTAATAATGACGTTTAATAGAGGAGACCCAGTGTGCGCTTCCAGCACTTTCTTACTTTCCTCACCGGTGACGGAAATAAGCGGTGAAAGTTTGACGCTCTTGAACTCTTACTTTGTCCAGGTATATACTTCATATTCAACGCATAACCAGGAGAATATTTAAACAAGTCATTCATATCGGTTACAAGGGAATATTCACAACTCAACGATCAGGGAAGATGAAACCAAAATAAAATTTCGCAAATATATTTCTTCATTAAAACGTCGATGATCATTGATAATCTTAGTACAAACGCAAACAGAAATAAAACAGAACAGAAGAATGGACAAAGGAGAAGAAAATAAATAAGAAAGTGGAGGTAAATTTCCAACAGCACAACGGACACTCAGTTCTCAGTTGGATTATAACTAATGTAACGCTTTCGCTTAGAAATTGCGAGGCGCTAACGTTTCACGTAATGCATTAAATCGTTAGCCATAGAACCTACACTATGGGATCATGAATATTTCAATTGTCGCGCATAATTGATCGCGCGAGTAGTAACGCCAAGATGAAGGGTCCGGTGGCGGTGTACTGTCGTTTCAATCATCGCAAGTATATTCGTAATTGAGGGTTAGGCAATGCAAGGATTAAATATTCATCGGCGAAGGGAGATCGCGCGTTCTCGCACTCGTCCATAAGCAATCGACTGCAAATGAGTTTAAACTCGCTCGGGTATGCATCGAAGGTTCCCCGGCGTCGCGGCGCAGCCCCTTCGAACGTGGAATTGCGGGCAAAAAAAGAGGGGGGAAAAAATAATATTCTCTGCCGCTGAATGCATAGTCGATGCGCGGATCACGCGAGCAACAAGGAGTCTCGTTAATATTTCATACTTTTATTAGTTCGTCACCAACTTTCGATCTTGTTACCACGATCCTCGTAGTTTCATGTATCGTATCCGTTCATCTTTCTTTTTTTCTTTCCGGTTTTACGACGGCTCGTCATTTTCTTTCAATCGATCGAGGCTCGGTTTAGTGCAATGAAATGGGGTCCGCCGGATGCAATAAACCGGGGAATGTGTGATTGCAATACAGATCATTCGTCCTTCGTTCTATTAATATATACAGAATACTTATCTTTTTATTTTACAAAGAATTAACATGATTTTTTTTGTATATTCTTGAAAACGATTTATTCTATATTGAATACGGTATCAGAGTATGCATTTGACATTAAATTCCACCCTTTTCTTGAAGTCCTTGAATTTAAATTGGATTTCTGTGTTTTGTTTTTCATGGCGTAGAGGACGGAAATGTATTCCCATCGATCTCGTCGTGGTCTGAAAACGTAGAAGCGCGTCTCCCAATCGAGAAAAGGATTTCCATGTATTTTAATCGTAAAAAATGGAATCGTTTATGCAACAAGTTTCACATCGAAAGTACCCACGTTCGCGCGCGAGTGCATCGGTAAGAACGGATACGGTTGCGTTCAATTTATTCACGGCTGCTTACCTCGGAGTAAAGCTGCAAACTGGAAGAACAAAATTTGCTCGTGGTGATCCGCGATGGTAGTTTCCCCAGGCACATGATAATTACCAATAATTTAGCATTTTTTGGCGGCAGTTTACACCATTCGCAGTTGAATGTTGCAGTGGTTAGATCTGTACTCTATATAAATTAGTGATTAGATCCATTCTGCAACATTTCTAAATGACACTTCGTATCGACGTCTCGCGAGTAAACTCGCCTGCAGTAGTCAAGAATTTTTACGCGAGTCTCGAATATTTATAGGCTTTATAGGGTAAACAAGTCGGTGGAATTGCACTTTCGTTCATCCCAATGGTAGTTTGTGATCCACTTTATGAAATAAATCAATTATTTGATTACAAGTGGGGATTATCCTACCATTGAAACTTATTGTCACAATTTACGACTGGTTATTCATTTTGATTTAATTTTATACCAAAGTGATGCGAAGAATTTTCTCCTTCAAGTATGAAACAAAGAAGAATTGCGCAGAATCCTTTTTCCAAGTTTCTTAAGCAACTGTACCTCGACAGCGAGCTTCTCTCCGACGCAGCAATATAAATATAACTGTGCCATAAGGTAGAACACGTAAAGTATGAGGAAGATGATTTGAGCCAACGCCAGCCCGTTTTCCTCGCCTAGAATTCAAATATCCTGTAACTTCTTTTTTGTTGTCATTTGATGAATAACAAGTTTTCCTTACCGTGGTGGCTTGGGAAGAATGGAAACAAAGATGCGTCGTGCATCATTTTAGTTATTAACAAAATGATTGCTCACCAAAAGTCCATAATGTTAAAATATAAATATTTAGTTTGGGGAATAGAGTATTACATAGTGTGGTCACGTCAGAGGTGACATCATAGCACAGAAAGCTAAGCTTATTGATAAATTAAGGAATGCAGTAAGGACAGTGTTAAGACTACGTACAATTAAGAAATAACCCTCATCGTCCCGTTTGCATAGTCAAGGAAATTTAGTTTTTACAACAATAGAGACACATTAAATAAAACCCTAACCATTCGAGACACCATAAAACAAACAAATTAAGACATTTTCAATACACAAAGGACGGCGTAGCTTCACGACACGCTAACGGTACTCCACACTCCTACTGACGATACCTGACTTGACCTGTCCGACTTACCCTACAAGGCGTGACCACAAGACAGCAGATTCAACCCCCAACAACTTCATTGGACGAAAATATTTCCCACTTTTAACATACACATGAAACAGTACACACCCTCAT